AGCCCGAAGCCAAGGGCGGTCACAGATGCACCTAGAAGACCGGAGAAAGGACACCGGCGGTGGGGCGGTGGTCGGGCTACTGTTCCGAGAAATTACAGAATTGCCACCGAGTTCATTTTGCAAATTACTCTCAAATTTTCTAAAGAAGTTGAAAATCTCCAAAAATGAAAGTTGCTCAACTTTTCAAACTCTACAACTTTGCTTCAATGAATATTTTCAAATTCTACCTCCATTTTGAAATTTGAATTTGGGGTGCATTTGAGTATTTGAATCATTTCAAAATTACTCCAAATTTTATATGTAAACTTGAAAAACTTTGAATACCAAAGTTGATCCACATAAAATAATCTCCAACTTTGCTTTTTGCCTCAACCCCAAATTCCACATGGATTTTGAATTAGTCAAAAGGGGCAAAAAGGACTTTTTGTGATTTGAATTTGAATTCAAATTTGATTTGTCTTCGTTTTACTTAAATTTTGATTTTTGACCAGTAACATGGCCCATTAGGGTTATTTGAGTCAAATGACACATGGCCTCACATGATCACATGAAATTTGACCCTTGTGGTCATGATCTTTATTTAGGGTTTCGAAACACATCACATGAAATAACAACATTATGAAATAAACCTTATTTAGTGAATGCATTCAAAATTTTCTACTCTATGAATGCTTTGCAATGCATATGATGACATGTCAAATTTTTAATGATAGGTTAAAACACAAGAGGTGTTACAACGAAGAACCACCAATGGAGAGCGCACGAAGGATGGCCTCGTAGCAAAATACGGCGCGGGAAGAAGGACACCGCCTGAACGCCAGTATCCATGGCTGACCGAGGAGCCACGCAAAAGTTACGCTGAACAGGGGGGGGTTCCCAAGTGCGTAAATTTTAGGAGGAAGGATTAGGAGTTGTTGGAGAGGAATTTTTTTTCCATCTTTATAAAAACCAAGGATTATGAGGGGATTTTGGGAACTCTTGGAGATGCTCTTAGGGAAACCTTTTTTTTCTCCCCATTTTGTTGGGGTCTGATTCACCACTTTCTTCCAATTTTCCCCTGATTTTTTACCGTTGGGAATAGTGCCTGCAAATAAATTACTTGGCTCCGCCGTCAACAGCTTCTTTCTTCTGCTTCATATCGCCATCATGAGAGGATTGGGAGTTTCAAAGGCTGCAAGCTATAAATGGAGACCATGCAGCTGGTGTATTTTTTCCATGCATGCACAAACAGCATGACTAATATAGTTTTTTTTCTTGTTATATTGATCTTGATGTTCTTTAATCTGTGTGTTTAGAGCTAAAATGCCTAATGAAAATAAATAGAGGGAGTAGTATTTTTAAAATTAAAACATAAGGCAAAGATTTTCGAGAAGTTTAGCCTAATGAAAAGCTAGTTTCCTCACCAAAAAAACAAACAAATGAAAAGCTGAATTCCTCAACTACCAGCCCCTTTTATCATTCATCACATAACAACTTGAATTGAATGTGGAACTTCCACTGATTGTTGGCATTTCACAAAATCATTAAGTACTACACAAATGATTTACATTAATTCCTGATTTTACATCATGGTTGACAGTTGAGGTATCTTTATGTAAAGATACATTAGTTTTGTGGATATTTCTAACTGCATTCTAGAAATAGAATCCATGCAGTTCACCATTAATTTTTGTTCAGGAACTGGAAAAGAATGCAAGTGCTCATTACTAACTCTTTTTTTCATATGTTTTTTTTTCTATATTTCTTTTTTGCGGAAAATAGGGAAAATGACTCAAGGTCAAACCCTTTGACATTTCTCTACACTTGGTTTTTTTATGTAGACAAACCTTACTAGCTTGCTATTATCAATTTGTCAAGTACTGCATGTAGCAGTGTTGTCTAATCTGTTCCTATTTATGTTTGTACTTAACCTTATCAGAGCAAGGTGCCAGATTGGGCCAAGAACAAGTCATGAAGGCACAGGCTCATTCTGCATCACTGGTACTGAGGGATTCTGGATTGGTGATAGATCAGTAGATGGGTGGTTTGTACTAGTAGAATGAAGTGGTTTCTGAAGTATCTGGCGGTTGCAGCTGTGTTAGGTGTTAAGTTCTTTCGGTGCATTAGCTAATTCTATTTAGCAGGCCTCTAAGCCACTTTGCTGTTAAATACTTAAATCTTTTCCCAGCATGTGACATGTTTGGAAGGGATATTACTGACCCTTTAAACCTCCTGTGGACCCTTTTAACCACGGACTGTGGTCACCCATGGTTGGGGAAAAAAATCTTGTTGGAGCATATCAGTGGGAATGTGGGATGAGGTCTTCATGTGTTTTACATGAATGTTTTTATCTAGGAAAAAAAAGGACTAGATGTTATATTATCAAAGTACTATGAATACTGATGAGTATTTCTCATGTCATTCTAGAATAATCCCAGTCATGTATAGAACTCTAGGTTAAGTCTAAACTGGTGGAAGTGTCAAGTCGATACCGCCATACCGGTTTAGATTTGAAGGTTTAGAACTCAAGATGTTGCTTAATGCATTTAAAGGTTTAGCATGTTTAATTAACCAGCGGTTGGAGCCCTCCTGCACGGCTGCACCGTTCATTATTGTGTGGCCAGCTGAATTCTGCAATGTACTTCATTTTAGCCAAAACTTGTAATCTTCTCGATGTTTGTTTGTGTCCATAAAGTTTAAGCAGCCCAGTTTGTTCTATAGCGTAACATTGATGGTTCCTTTCGTTCTTGAGCATGTGTGTATGGAATATATGCCTTTTGAGTACTGCAAGCCCGAACAGTGAAAGAAGAGGTATTTTTTTAGAACCATTCCTCTCTGACTCTGAAATTGCTGCATTCTTTCTAAAGCTGGTGGATGCAAAGATGAGGTTACGAAAGCTAAAATGAAGACAAGAATCAGAATGGAATGGACGAACGGTTATCTGTATTAGATTTGTGCCACTGCTTTGGATTCAGAACTGCCCAATTGATTTCTGGCTGCAAACCTCCAAATAATGGGACGAGCTGCAGGGTGATCGAGAGGACACAGGAGGGAGCGCGTCAATGGACGGCCGCAACAGGGAAGGGAGCACGTCAATTTTGGCCTCGATCGAATGTGAGGGAAGGGGTGACCGACACTGGTGGGTGCCACATTGCCAGTGCCACGCGAACCGATCCTCGGTTTGCTTGACCGTTGTGGAAGCCATGCGGGTGGAATCTATTTGGGGAGATTGGACGACGATCTAGGGATGCTTCTGATTCTTTTGCATTGGTTGATGGCAACTGTCATCTAAATGAAGAATCCTGATTTCAAGGTTAAGAGAGAAATAGAATGAAAAATGAACTAAGAAGGTGATAAAAAAATTATCCACTAGGCACCCACTTTGCATCCTACTCCTACCTACAACATGGCTGTGAGGAATCAGGCATAGATGAAGACGAGATGGCATATTGTTGTCAGGCAAATCTAGGTTCACCGACTAGATGATCCTATCGGGGCCATTTGTAGTTTATCATGTCTGTCCACGGAACTCACTACCTCGCTAGAAAAAATATCATATTTTACAAATGGTATTTTGAATTCTATCTGCTATATCTAATATTTCAGGCCAGAAGTGTGGAATTAAGGTTGAAACTGCATGAGATTGCTCACTTTCTGAAAGAGAATGACTGTAAAGAACTGAAATCAGGGTCCAAAAGGAAATGTGAGAATCATCAGACGCGAGGCTACAGCAAGGTTCTGGGATTCTTTTCTCAAAAAAATTCAGAGCCCACCGAATTGGACGAAATTCAGAAAATTCGGACCGGTATCCACTCAAAATTTGAATGAAATTTGAGCAAATTTGAACAAAATTTCCCCAAATGACCAGGCATGGCAGTGGGCTTGGAGAGGGTGCACGCGGCGCCGATAGGGAACGCGCAGGTGGCGCGGAGGGCAGCAACGGCGCGGTGGTGGCAGCAGGGGGTGCAGATGGCAGCAACGACGCATCAGATGCAGTGACGGCGCGACGGCGAGCTTCAAGGAGCGGCCATGGCACGCGGGTGGCGTCGAGGAGTGTACATGGCGCGAGCTCGGACGTAGGGAAGCAACCACAGCTCTCGCGGTGGCTACAGTAGCGCTGGCGCAGGCGGCAGGGAGCATAGACGATGCTGCCGGCGGCGGCTCGCAAGAAAGCTAGGCACCGTGACGAAGTTTTTTAGCGTCACACTGATGGACGAACATTCGTGGGCTCTTGTTGGACCATAAAACGGGCTGGAAATTTAATTGGGCCAAAATATTTTGACCGATTTAGTTTTATCTCGGACAGGGCCAAAATGGACGAATTTCGGTGAATCCCAGAACCCTGGGCTATAGGCAGATGTAGTAATTTGAAACATTGCATTTATTTTTCTGCTAGATGTTTTCATAAAAGGAAAAAGGATAAGGTCAATTACTGGATAAAAATATAATAATTTTTTTGATACATATGTGCATATGTCTACTAGTTGACTCAAACTGTTGCAGGTAAAAGAGCACTACTTCTGATTTGGGCATTGCAGATAGACTAGTCTGCTATTATTTTATTTGTAAGAGCAAGCAGCAAACTAGGAGTAGGAGGTATTGTCGATCACATTGACACAGTGCTTATTCCAAACACTACCAAAACGGGTCGAACCAGTCCTTCCTTGGCCACCCCTAAACCAAACACGCTTGAGCGACTTTATCATTACAAATATACCTATTTCCCCTATTATTTATTATGTTTACACTTCATTTGGAATAACTTACATTGTGATTGCTCTCATATATTGACAAAAAGATGAGAGAAAGCAGTATTTCACATCTCGATTAACAAGCCTCGCAAGAGCCTCGTTGATATAATCCATTTTGATAATCTCAATCGCTGGATAGATTTTGTTCTCTGAACAAAAGTTAATCATATATTGGATGCCTTTTGTACCTCCACCTAAAAAAGAAGTTCAGGTTAAATCTAAATGATTTTGCTTCTGTTACCACGTTTATATATTTTCACTACACGAGTGTCAGAACAGAGAATTACCAAGATTGAGGCTTGCAGGATGCATTTTCATCTCACTTGGAAAGCACACTATTGTCATCACACCACCAAACTTAAGGAGTGAGAGATATGGATCAAATGGATGATCACCTAAAGCTGTGTCAGCTCTGAAGTGCAGCAAGTTTTTCAGGGACTGCAAAAGCAAGAGATCAATATAGTCACAATCAATTTTCAGGTTAAGCAGAACAAACATTATTTAGCAACACATCTTTCTTTTCAGCATAAGAAAGCTATCCATGGTCATATACAGAACTGGTTGCCTGGAACTTTGGAATGAAAGATAGTGTTCTGCTGGCCTATTTTTTTCTAGTGAAAATAATGTGATATGCTTGTATATTTGACAATAAAATGCAGAAAAAAAATCTTCCCACCAAAAGGTGGTGTCATACCGACTTTATTGTTGTTTTGCTACTAATACAAAATTATGTGATCATTATCAACAAGAAAAACATGGCATCTTCCGTCCTTTCCGAAATGCAATATATTTTAGTTTTGTCCTAAGTGAAATTTCTCTAATTTTGACCAAGTTTATAGAAAATATATATTAACACCTACAATACCAAATAAGTGCAATATCAAGAAATATTTCATGGTGGATTCAATTTAATGCTGTTGGTACTGGTGCATTTTTTAATTAACTTGATCAAAATTAGAGAAATCTGACTTAGGACAAAGCCAAAATGTCTCATATTATGGAACAGATCAAGTACTAAGGTATGTCTCATATTATGAAATCTGCTGTGTGTCTGATGATATAACAAAATTATCTGTTCCAAGGACGCTGATGGCTTCATCTCTCTTTGATTCACTTGTACTGAAAATTGTGACCTTAAGACCAAAGGCTTTACCAAATTTCACTGCCATGTGACCCAGACCACCCAGTCTAATGACTCCTAGCGACTTTCCAGGTTGGTTCATGTTGTGCTGCACCATTGGAGTATAAACAGTGATTCCAGCACATAGAAGAGGTGCCGCCTTTGCCAAATGGTAGCCATCGGGTATTTTGAAACGGTACCTAAAATGTTAATTAATGAACAGAAAGTTTTACCTTATCAGAAAAGCTGTATTGAACTTGAACCAGCATCAAGGTATAACTACTTATATGGGCCCTATATATTATTCTTTCATCATTTATTGATTTTGGTAAACATGGTTGGACAACAATAATACAATTTTACTCACCTCCCATAAGAGACTACACAGTATGATTAAATAAGAAAATAAAATTATAGTGGACCAAAATAAATTAGGAGCCTGTTTTCATCCCTAAAATTAGCTTTTATCAATTTAGAAGTTCTTGTTTGAACAGCCAACTAAAATGGTACTGCCTTACCTTTCATGGACTACAATATGAGTGGAGTAACCCCCCTTTGTGATAGTTCCATCAGTATCAGTTCTGTTGAAAGTAAAAACTGTTTCTGGGCTGTAATTCTCTAGAGAGCTGTTGCAGTTCTCACAATCCCGACATGAGTTCACATAGGTTCCCACACCTACATGATCACCCACTTTAAAGCCTTTGATCTGCACCAACATCAGTTACAACCCCAGCTATCTCATGCCTGCACAAATCAATAACATTGACAAATATACAGTACAAACACCACGTTTAGCCAATAGGCAGCAATTTCTAACAATTTGTTTTTTACTCTGAGGGATTCAATGTACATATTGATCTAAAAAGCTTACCCAGGAACCAAAGGATATTTGAATTATTGTGCTTATTTTGTGTAGAAATAATGTCAGCATAATAGACTCCACAATATATGATCTTCAGTGAAACGTCGCTGCTTTGCACTACTCTACAAATTATCATACACATAGTACCTCCCATAAGAAGACGTTATGAGAATGAAACCAATAAGCTAGCTGCACAAAAGACAAGCATGTTGCTATTTGCACTCAAATTTCTGCAATCCCATGGACCCAATATATGCCCCGTAGTAAGCATCAACTTCACTATTTACTTAGTTTGACACACTGTCACGGGTTCGTAACGGCGGCGAGCATCGTGGTTATTCGTCAGAAGTCGATGTGTGGGCCTCCGGTGGCTCGGGCACTCAAAACACAAGAGAGACACGGCGATCTATCCTAGTTCGGGCTTCTGAGCTCTATGCCCAGCAGTGAGGTGTTCTTCGTGTTAAGGAGCAGCCAAATCGGTGGTTACAACAATGGAGATCGAGAGTTTAGCGGGGGATCGCTCGGTGCTATCCTACGGCTCGTCGGAGGTGTTCATCCGCAGCGAGTAAGGAACCGGCCTTCTCTAGCTGGGTTGTCGAATTGGCCTAGTTGGGGATTGTCTACTATTAGATATTCTCCTCTCCTCTTCTCTTTTTCTTCCCCTTATATCCTAAGGAGGGGTCGGGTACAAGTTGGTTTTGGGTTCGAGTCTATGGTGTACGTACGCCGGGTGTAGGAGTATGCTGCCGCGGCGTGTATGGACCTTGCCTTCGTCCCATAGGGAGGAGTCAATGGAGCTGCAGCCACTGCCTGACATTGCTGCCACCACCTGGCACTTGACCATCAGGGGTTGTCTGCTCTGGTGCGGCCTCCCTTGGGTGAACCTTCTCGAGGCTTCCTTGGCTGTGAAGGAGCCCCAGGTCACTTGTCCTATAGTGTAATGCCGGTTGTGTGACCCTGTCGAAGGAGTGGCCAACAGAGCCTCGCGCCCGTTGAACAGGCAAGCGCTATGGAATCTCCATATTTGTCGGGCCTCTGAAAGCCCTATGTTTGGTTTTGGCTAATTGAGACAACCAAGTGAACTAACCCTATGCTCTAGTGTTTTTTATGAGATAGGTTGGTTCACATCCAAGGCGGAGCAAGGATGGCACTCAAGGTGATGGAGATGGCCAATTGATGATCAAGTGCTCCAAACTTGGAAAAGAAGAAAGAGATGAAGGGGACCGTGACAACAAAGAGGGGGGGGGGGTGAATTAGGCAACTTAAAATTCTAACTCTAAACTATGGCCTCTTTTTCTAACCTTAGCAAAACCTATGCAAGAGATAAACTATCTAGATGTGCAACTACGGTTTTGCTAGTGTGTTGCTATCTCTACCGCATAAAGGAGTAATACAAACAATGTAAATGCGGAAGCTAAAGAGCAAGGTAGAGATATGCAAACTCCCGTCGACGACTCCGGTATTTTTACCGAGATATCGAGAAGCACGCAAGCTTCCCCCTAGTCCTCGTTGGAGCCCCTCGCAAGGAATCCCTCGCAAGGGCCAAGCTCCCAGTCGGGTAACTCTGTGGATAGCCTCAGGCCTTCCCCACACGCAAGTGGGTCTCCGACGTGCCTTTCGGCAAGCCTCTCCCGGATGCTCCCCGCCGTCTTCACTATCAAGCTTCCGGCCGAAACACCGCGGGCCTTGTTCCCTCCGGTACACGGTGGCGGCCACACCACAAATGCAGTTGGTGTGATCTCGCAAGACTACAAGCCCCTCCGATGTACAACAATGGTGCGCGCAAGCACCGAGTGGTAAGAGGTATGCAAACCTCACTAAACACTAGGCCTAAACCTAGAGCAAGCGCATAAGCGGTGGTCTAATCAACCTAAGCACTTCGCAAAGCACCTACGCTAATCACCTAATGAATCACTAAGCACTATGCAAGTGGAGATCACTAAAATGGTGTATCAACACCCTTGATATGTTTTCTTAGCTCCACACACCTCATTTGGCCGGTTGAGGGTTGTATTTATAAGCCCCACTGAGAAAGTAGCCGTTGGGGATGAAATCCCACTTTTCTGCTACTGAACGGACGCTGATCACGTCCTGACCGGACGCATCCGGTTGTCCCGACCGTTGGAGCCGCGATCAACTGATCGGACGCTGCCAACGTTCAGTCACTTGCCACCCGACGTGTCCGGTCGCAATTTCGCTGCTCTAGAACCTTTTTGTACTTGACCGGACTCTGCTGTCCCGCGTCCGGTCGATTTGCTTGTTCAGCATCCGGTCACTGCTGCTGCCGAGCCTCTTGATCGGGGCATCCGGTCACTGTGCTACTAGCGTCCGGTCCACCGTCTGGTCACCTCTGTGAGCTCGTTTCTTCGCGATCTTGCGTCCGGCTTGGTTCCTATCTTTGTGCTTGGACTTTGCTTGATATCTTGGGTCTTCTCTTGTGCTTCTAAGGTCTTGCTTATGGTGTTGATCATCGGAACATCACGTCACCTTCGTCCAAGTCATGTCTTGCACCCTATTGAACTACAAAACAATCACTTGCAAACTCATTAGTCCAATTTGGTTGTGTTGGTCATCAAACACCAAAATCCAAAGTAAATGGGCCTAGGGTCCATTTTCCTTACAATCTCCCCCTTTTTGGTGATTGATGACAACATGACCAAAGCAAGCAAATAATAAAAATTTGGAATTTTAAAAACTATCTACTTGCTAGGATGCAATGCAAGGGGCAAGGTTATATGATGCTAAAAGATACTGTCGGTGCAGATTGTGACCAACTAGTAAATATTTGTAGTTTTGCCGTACGTTGTGATCGGAGGTGTCCTAACACTCAATGACACAGGATTTATACTGGTTCAGGCAACGTGCCCTACGTCTAGTGTGGGTCAGTCGGTGACTTTATTCCTGAGCCTAGGTGCTCGAAGTCTGTAGTGGGGTTACAAACAAGAAGGAGAAAGGTGGGGTGTACGAGAGGCCCGGTCGGGTCTGACCGGAAGGGCCAAGGGCGACCAGAATTCCGCTACGAGCTAGGTGTTCAAGCATGTGCTCGAGGGGTTGTGAGCTATCGATCTAGTGAATCTTAACTTGAAGAAGTCAGTGTCCCCTTTGTTGGAGGGAGCGCATCCCCTTTTATAGATAAAGGGGATGGCTTTACAGGTGAGAGGGAGAGAGTACGGATGTTTCTAAGTCTTGTTGCCCAAGCCGATGAGGACAGTGATGATGGTAGGTGCCCACAACACTGTTGATGTCACTGTAGAATGTCAGGTGCACGTGGGAGGTTGCGGTGTCTTCTTCGGGAAGGGTTGACGTCGGTACCTACAAAAATACTGTTTGCTCAGAGGCATGTGTGGAGCCCTACCACATTTTACCAGGTATGGTGAATCCTGGTGCCCACTATCGATGCCCAGAGGCATGTGGGGGGCTTTTTGCCGTGTGGGAGTCCAACGACGCCTACTATATTGTAGACACAAATGTCGGCGCCTACAATACTGTTTGTGTCAGGGCGGTCGTGGAGCACTGTTCCCACAGGCGTACAGGGCATGGCCCGGTATCGTGGTTTGACTTTGTGCGCTGCCTTCTCCGTTCGCCCCTGGTCCCTTCTGAGTGGGCGTCCTCGGTCGGATGGCTCCAGTCGGCCCTGGCCACGCTAGTCGGGGAAGAGCGGTACGTGGGTTTCCTACGGGTCCCCGGTCGGAGTCGTGGGGTCGGAGTAGGAAGGAGCGTTTTGGGCCAAGCCTTTAGATCGGAGGGACCGCCTGGAGGTGCCCGGTGCCCGAAGCGAGTGCTCCAGTCGGAGAGGTGGGCCAAAGAAGTTGACGAGCGGGTGTTTGTTCTTTTGGGTAGACCTCCCGGTCGGCAACCAGACTGTCCTCCTGGCCTATTGTTTCTTAGACTCTTGGGCCAGCCCATGGACTACATGCTGTTTTCTTGGGCCGAGCCCTGGCGCGGAAGCCGGTCCCCGAGGGACCCCAGGTTTATGAACCCGATAGGAGCCCCCGAGCCCCCGGGCAATTTGAGCCGAATCGTCCGGGGGATTTTTGTCTTGACGGCGGGTGCGCGCGAGCGCACCCGTGGGTGTTGCCCCCGAGCCCCCGGGCGGTTTGGGCAGAACCGGCTGGGGGGTTTTCTACGTCGTCAGCGGGGGAGGTTTTTCTGTTGTGTCGGCGGGTACGCACGAGCGCACCCGCGAGTGTAGCCCCCGAGCCCCCGGGTGATTCGGGCAGAACCGTCAGGGGGGTGTTTGCTTCACCGGGCGTGTGTGCGTGTTTTTAGTTTGAGACGGAATTTGCTGATCTCGGTGTCGGTGCGCACCGTGGATTGGGTGAGAAGCTTAGTTTAGGGTAAACCTTGGCATCGGTGCGTGCCACGGATGGGTATAGCTTGGTTCAGATGCGACAGAGCTCACCGATCCTTGGCGTCGATGAGCGCCGCGGGATGGGCCGAGGCAGAGTCGTGAGCGGACCCAGGCGTCGATACGCATCGTGGATCGAAAGTTAGTTTTAGTTAGTTTAGGAATCGGACGAGGCGGAGCTCGTGGATCCTAAGTGAAGCCGTTACGCGAGTTTAGGAGTCGCGGTCCCAGGAGTCGTAGCCAGATGTCATAGATCCTGTCGACGTGAGTTCGGGGTCGCGGTCCCAAGAGCCGTAGCCGGATGTCATAGATCCTGTTGATGCAAATTTGAAGTCGTGGTCCCAAGAGCCGTAGCCGGATGTCATAGATCCTGTCGACGCGAGTTTGGGGTCGCGGTCCCAAGAGCCGTAGCCAGATGTCATAGATCCTATGGACGCGAGTTTGGGGTCGCGGTCCCAAGGTTTTTGGAGCACAATCGGAAGTGAAGTCGTATGAAGCCGAAGTGTAG